CCACCCGTAAAAAAATTTTAAAAAAATATGTAGTAGAGCATCCAGTTCTACGGAAGGTCATTCATAGAATGTAAAAATAAGACCACTTGACTAAATGGTAGGGTGCTTTATCAGAAAATAAGCTACAATCAATTTTTGAACAAAACAAATTGAAATGCATTGTTTGTTTACATCTTTTATCATAATATTACAGAACTAGGTCCATTAACTTGAGATAAACAATAGCAAAACTTAACATGTCAATGAAACTGATTTGACCACCATCATGGATATCATCACAAAACACAGGGATTGAATCGTGAATAAAGCAGCAATGTGGTTAACCTATTTATTATTTCCACAATATGACTCCAAATATAAAATCGATGCATATCATCGCATTATGTTTGCCTGAGGTCTATCCGTATTTGTATTCTATGTATATAAATCTAGGTTCGGTTTGGCATACATGCATACAAAAAACCCATTTACATTCTGTTGGCATTTGTGTTCGTTGTTTCTGGTTATTATTTTCAAACGTCAGGGAGTCTAGCGAATCTTTAAGATTTATGTAAAAGGATTGGAATTTGGTCCCGAAGTCCAAAAAAAAGCTTCTGCAGTATGATTAGATAATTAAGATGTGGATAACTTTCTTCACGCCAATTGACACTGATGAAGACATGAAGGAGTTACTATTCGGGGAATTCTTATCAAATCACTTAGGGCAGAAAGAATGCACAGGCGTGCACATTTACTCCTAAGATCTGCACTCTGGTCTGTATGTGATTTAGAATCCAAACACTCTATCTGTAAAGAGACAAGAAGTCGGTCAGTGCACAGGTATACTGTGTTGGAAGTGGACCAAAACCCATACAGAGGATATGGAATCCATGTTAATTTGAACTAAAAGCCGTGATATGTAATTAAACTTTTTCTCCAATAATAGATTTACATATTATTCGGTATGTCTTTTGTGAGAGAAAAAAAATCGAGAAAAATCTGTGTAGAAAAATCTATGTCCACTTTTTGTGATACATAGTTTCACGGATTAACGCCAACTGAATTCTTTTCAGTAGAACGTCCGTGAATTATTTTTCATTCCTTAATCAATTGATCAATAAAAAAAATGAAATAACTAGGTTTTAACCAATGTTTTAATGGCTAGCGTTCTGTGTTATTTCTCCTTTGACCATGTAGCCTGATTCGTGCTGTGACTGAACCATGTCTAAACTGACAACTGTCCAATATCTCGACTTCCAGTCGTGAGTGCTAGAAAAAAATACCTACAGTTGAGCTTTGATAAGCCACCTCCGCTCCAAGAATAGGTGACTCGATATTGCAATGACTAGGTCACTGGATCATTTTATACGGAAAATGTCCTATATCTGTCCCCTTAGTCACGTGTTAAAATAGGCTTACGTGTGTTTAATTGATTTTCAATGTGAGGCTCATATTGAATTGATATTCGATGGAAAAACGTGTACTCTTCGGGAACACCTGGTCTTATTCCCTTTGTAAATTTTTATACGGTCTTCATGTTAACCATTCCTTTGTTCGTATATTGCACTTGTTTTTATCGCTTTCGATTTCGAAATTCGATTTTGTTGACACTTCAGTATTTCTTGTTGTGTTTTTATCACTTGTTCTCTTGGACTTTTTAATTACCATGATCAAACCGACATCAGAGCGAGGTACAAGGCTTGAGGTAGCCATTATGTACATGACTTTGTGGAGAAGATTTGCTCGAGCCAAAATGTTGTCATTTTTGTTGCTGCCAGGCGTTCCATACTGTAAAAACTAGTTGCATTATGGGGTTTTGGGGCAGAAATTTGGTCCAGATAATATTCGTTAAAAGTGACCCTGGTAATATGATACAATTAAATACACACGTGTCTATGAGCGTACTTAACATGTTGGGAGATATTTGTGCTACTGGGTTAGTTTCCGATCGTCCCAGGAGCGGTCGTCCGCGTGTAACGACCGCACGACAAGACAGGGCGATTCGATTGTCGCACTTGCGCAACAGATTCAAGACTGCTGTAGAGACTGCGTCGCATACCTTAGGTACTCATGGCAGACCCATTAGTCCTCAAACTGCCAGGAACCGCTTGCGTGCCGAGAGAATCATTGCGCGCCGACCTTATGTCGGGCCACCTCTGACACCACGGAGGCGCCATGTGCGTCTCGACTGGATGCGCAGACATGGCCCGAATAGGTTTGGGATGCGTCGATGGAGGCGTGTGATGTTCACCGACGAGTCTAGATTCTGTCTGTATCACTCAGACGGAAGAAAAATGGTATATCGCAGACGCGGTGAGCGTTTCGCCGACGCATGCGTGGTTGAACGCGATAGATTCGGTGGGGTTTCTGAAATGGTTTGGGGAGGCATCTCCCATTGAGTAAAATCCCCCTTAGTGGTCCTGGATCAAAACCTCAATGCCATTCGATACAGAGACAGGATCCTCCAACCACATGTCCTTCCACTTCTCAGACGTCATAACCTAATTTTCCAGCAAGACAATGCTCGACCGCATGTTGCCAGAGTCTGTCGTGATTTTCTCACGGCAAACAACGTTCAGTCTCTGGAATGGCCCCCATATAGCCCCGACATGTCTCCCATTGAGCATCTGTAGGATGAGCTGGACAGGCGTATAAGGAAACGTCAAAAAAACAAAAACTAACCGCGCCCAGTTGATCGCAGCATTAACACAAGAATGGAACAACATTCCCTTAATGCGAATAAATGTTCTCATGAATTCAATGCATAGGAGAATCGGTGCAGGGATTCGTGCAAAGGTGCCCACACCAGGTACTGAAGTGTCATTTTGTTTTTCGCGGGTATCCCACTTTGAGTAACTACTGATGACACGAGTTACGACACACAGACTTTTCTTCTACAGTATTGTAAAGAGTAGACTTGTCCCTTCATATTGATATAAACTTTTGTACAAATTTCCCAAAATATCATAGGCTTTTGATTGCATAATTTAATTGAGCGTTATTTTTTTTGTTCAGTATATAAAGAAAAAAATCTCAACGACGAGTCTTTAGTACTTTGATCTCTTCAGAAGAGAGGAAAGTACTAGCTGTAGCCCAATTGGGCCAATACACTACCGTTCACATGGTGGTTCAGTAAGCTAGAGTCACGGCATATTGATCAGAGGGCCCATATTTATCAGAGGGCCCATATTGATCAGATGGCCCATCTTGATGGCCTATATTAATCAAAGGGCCCATATTGATCAGAGGGCCCATATTGATTAGAGGGCCCATATTGATCAGAGGGCCCATATTGATGGCCCATATTGATCAGAGGGCCCATATTGATCAGAGGGACCATATTGATGGCCTATATTAATCAGAGGGCCCATATTGATTAGAGGGCCCATATTGATCAGAGGGCCCGAGTTCAAACTGTTGTCTAACCACGGTACATTTCTAATCGAAGAAGACTGTTGTTGATTTCTTTTAAATTTTTCTTCAATAGTTTTCATAAATGTTCCAATCTGTTTAGGTCATGTCGATATGATAATTTAATTGCATTTAAAACTATGTTCACGTTGACATTTCAATTATGTCTAACTGGTGTAAAGATACAATTTGATTTTATGACCAGACTTATCAAAAGGCATGGTTTTTCTTTCCATTGAATTGGGCCTGTTACAATTCAAAATTAATCTTCTAGAGGAGCTTCGGGCAAAGGGGATTCAGTTCTGTATATTAACATTTGCGCTGCAACCCACTTTATGAATATTACCAGATGAAATGCATTTTATTTGAGTTTAAAAGCAGAAACTCTCGTGACGTGACACGTGGTTTAATTATGACGTCATATAGTAACGTTGTTCAACGAGAGTTTTGACACTTCGATTCGGTGGGGCATGCCCTTGTTTCAAACACTTAAATGACTACGTTTAATTATTGGCGCAAACTTGATTTAATAGGACTGTTCCGCCAATGTCGTTAAAAGGACGCACATATACACAACGTATTGATTAAATTTATTATTTCAGAACAAATAAATCAAATTAAACGATTGTCCTATAGCAAAAATGTAAATATATGGATTGAACGTCGTTTTTTTAATTTTCAGGTCGGTATGAAATCAAATCGGTTACATCCATATTAAACATGAAGCCCTAGCTTCATGCAATATGGATGTAACCGATTTGCGTTCATATCGACATAAAAAAAAAAGCCGTTCAATCCCCATATAAACGGCGGATATGGCCCCCTGAGGGCAGGGTTTGCCGGACCGAACAGGGGAAATAGAGGAAAAGCTGTCTCCTTATGTAGAAATAAAGGGAGTTAACCCAAATGTGTTCTGGAGTGCCCTTCTGGTAAGAGGACTCAATATTGTAGGCTGTCTGTATAACTAATCTGTAGATAAATGGTCCTTAATTTTGTATAAATGGAGGGTGTGCCCCCTTTTGGAAGGCCCAATATTGTAAATAAAGGAAAACTGGTTTTCACGTATTTCTCCTTCGATACAAATGGAGGATTTCAACCGATTTTGATCAAGAGAACCTGCTAACAAAGACAACTAAATTTTGTATAAATAGCGGGGCAGAGAAGTGTGGCCCAATGAGAGAAATCAATAAAATCCTTCACCTTCCATACACATTTAGAGATTTCCCCCCTCCCTATAAACAAATATACAATTGCTAGGCCAAAGAGAAAAGAATACTCATGCTACCAGGATTAGCCCGGAGGTCAGACCATTTCCTGGAGTCACCTTCCCTTTGTCAAAACATGGAAACAGTTCCCATGCCATAACCATTTACAAAATTGCCGAACAATAATACACTCGTGTTTTTTAGTGTCTCACCCCCACCCCCCNGTTCAATATTAAATTTGAAGGTTTTCTTAAATTGTGAATGTTATGTGAAAAATTTAATCTTATATTCGTGTCCATGTAAAGTTGAATTCATTAAATTCGTTCTATAAATTCAATATGGCATGTACGACATATCAACAGCGTCCAATGTAATGACAGCTTTTAATAAAACTAATTATAAATATTCAAGATGCTTTATAGGTAAACCTTTTTTATTGCAAGAACAGATAAAAGTGTAAAAAAAATAAGAGGTTTAACCACTAGGGGCTGGTGTTGTCGTTCCCCTGATATTTTCAGCTGTCATTTCTGTAAAATAAAAAAAAAGAGTAAATGGATAAAAAAAGACATTTGAGTTTATTTAAATTGGCGCGAAGTCTTCTCGACAAATGTGTTATGTCATTTAAAAATTAGACTAATATTACGCTACTTATTCCATGCCCAATTTTATGTAATACGTTTTTCGTCGGCGTACTTCCAAAATGTAACAAATATAGAATTTAGTGCTTTCCCATTGCATATTTCACAACAGCACTCCTGAAATATATTTGAATGCTGTCACACTTATGAAATATATGTTATATCAACGAGAAACCTTAAACTGAGCTCTATGTGTTGGATAGTGAAATTCAATACTAAACAAAAATCTTAATTATTGTGACAGTAGAAAGTTTAAGTAATGTAAGTTATTCTCCAATCTTTGTGTATGCCAAGTACACGTGTCCCATGTCGATCACCCTTATGGGAAAACTCAATCCCTCATAGATGCACCAAATGACCACGGTTTGGGAATAACATATTTTCGTCTAAATAATTGACTAGAGAGTGAATACCATTTCAAATGTTTCCGTTTAAAATGATCAGCTCCATATCGGCTCACGTTCTTAAACGTGACGTCTTTTCGCTATGAAACGTGGCGTCATGAACGTTTTTCCAAACCCTTTTGATTTTAAAGTAAAGGTTGGAAGACTATACTTTTTCACGATATTTCTAAAAAAACAATCTTGGTTATTATGTTAAATCTACTTTATTTTCGGGAACGAGGTGGGGGGAAAAGGTGCCAATGTGAACGATGAAACTAAAGTGTAAATTAATCTTATATCTTGTTTAATCAATCACAAATAAACACTTACTGGTGTGAGTTAGGTAGCAGTCTTCACGGTTGCAGTCTTTACCCCGACAACAGGAGGAACATATTGTGACACCCTCATGTTCAATTGTACTTCTTCTACCTGCCGGAGCCGGTGTTGTTTTCTGGTCGTTGTTAAGGAAAGCTTCACACAACTGAAAATAAAGTTGGTTACACAATAAAAAGCTACTATCGATTTATTTCCTTCTCACATTGCTGGGTGGTCGGGTGGCGCAGTGGATAATGTCCTCGCCTAACACCTACTAGGAGGCCAGGGTTCGATTCCCCGATCGGATGTGAAAAAGTACGAGGTCACCTGCCGATCAAGTTGGTTTTCTCCGGGCACTCCGGTTTCCTCCCACATTAAGACCACCCGCGCGCTAAGATCCGGACCAACAAGTGTGATTAATATAAGTTTATATTATATTATAGTGTTGCTCAGAGACTTTAATTTATTACTATTTAGAAGAAAAAGTATAAATATTGATAAAGTTATTACAATGGCATTGCAAAACATCAGCAAAAGTAATACAAAAAAATAGATATTTTATATATCCTTTCCAACAACATGAAACTGGAATACATATCTTATATGGGTGTCATTTTAACCTGATTATGCGAGTGATACCACTTTAAAAGTATCAAAAAATTACAGACACTGATAATTATTCAACAATCACTTGATAATAATAGTCATATACAACATTTATATAGCGCCCTATATAATTTGTCAAATTACTCTACCGCGCTTTACAAAATATGGATAATAGTATTAGTTATAATTGTGACACAAAAATGGCTTACACATTATACCTTAAGCAAGAAGATAATCATCTCAATGTGCACATAAATGAATTAATAAAGTCTGTGCAAAGAGCCTAAAATGCAGACATGAAGAGGTGAGTTTTTATGTCCTTCTTGAATTTGGCCAGGGTATTTGACTTTCTAATAGCAGACTTAATGTCACACAGAACTATACATTTTTGGGAAAAGATAGCTCCTGCACTATATTTTTTTTCGAAACTCTGTAAGTAAGCATTTAATATTACAGAGTTACATTGTATATATTTAATGGTTTTATAGTTTATAACATATAAAATTACTTACATATGTTGATTCACATCCAAACTCGTATCTGATCAAACCACCGACAATGTGGATTGCTGATTTGCAAATCTGAAAATGAAAGAAATTCAAACAATTTTATCCAATCAATTTGGGTGGGGGATGACCCAACATGTAGCATTTTGAAATTTGCGGCGGTATATCGTGAAAAAACTGTCGCAAGCTGAGTTTTATTGGCGACACGTAGCTAATTCATATAAACCAACACCACCAAGAAAAAAATATATATATATTTTTCAGTGTTTTCTTCAAATTCTGGGTCTCTCGGTCGTGTATCGCCGTCGTGATGACGTCAGGAATATTCAAAGTGAGGCGGAATTACATTGACCTTCGGTGTCGCACTATTGTTCGTGTTAGGGTCAGTCAGTCATTGACGTTATTAACAATCCGATTCGGGCTTCATATAAATTGGCGGACGGTATATCGTGGTTATACTGTCGCAAATTATTTCGATTGGCCAATAAAATATCGTGTTACATCTCATAAGAATTAAAATTCAACTTTATTGCGTTTTGGATCCAAACAAGATTACCTGATATCGTTCGAACTACAAAAAAACACAACACGAATAACTATATCATACTCATTATATAATACTTAAGCACGTTGCAAGCCCGCCTTTCTCTGTGTTTGAAAAAAAAAATGAATTGACTTTAAAATCGGAAAAGTTTCGGTTCATTATATGATAATATCCTTTGTAAATTTTTCACACCCGTTAATGATGTTATTGCTTTATTTCTTTTGGAGAATAACTCCCCAATTTCAGATAACGAACGTATGTCGTCTTTTAGTATGTGATACAGTTCTGATAAGGCGAAGATGCCGAGGTTTTTTGTTTAGCACTGCCTGTTTCGAACTGTAGGATATGGTTCTTATTCTCAGGGTTTTTTTTATCAGTTGCTCTTGTTCAAATATACACGAACGATAAAAAAAGAATCCTCTCCATAGCTGTTCTTAATTGTATTTGTAAAGTTCACATTTTTATCATTACCATGATTTAAATACAAAATGAATATTTATAATCTCGGTCTTCGTAATGCGAGATTTCGATACGAATTACAAGGGAACAGTATATATTTATTGAAAGAATAAACGAAAAACAAACAAAATTAAATGAAAAGAAACCTATTGAAGTGAGCAATTAGAGTGCTAAGAAACCAACTTATCACCCAAAACAAACTTCTGATTTACCTCAGTGTCTTGGCACACCTGCCGCTCAGAACATGAACTAGCTCCGGACACGAGACGATCACAAACAACACAGCTCTCGGGCGTTGTAACATTTACAGCTATGGAGACAAGTGAGTATGTTCATATTAATTTAAAGGCCTAACTCAAGAAAAGTTACAGTTTAAGCCTCTCTGGAGTCTAGTAAGCATTCTTTAATAGTTGTAATGCCTAAATCAAGTAACGCTGGTACAGTATCATGTTCTATGTGTTCATAATAGCTGAGATGCCTAACTCAAGTAAAGTAAGTATATACAGTTAGGCAATTTAGTATGTGTTTATAGTTGAAATTCCTATCTCATGTATACAATTTAAACCTCTAAAGATATACATATACAATGTATTTAAGCTTATGATAGTCCAAATGCCTTATTCAAGTTTAAGTTGGTACAGCATGATCACATATTGACGTATTTCATACTTTAATAAACGTTTGTGGATGTAATTTCTTTTATATGATCAAAAAATGAATACCATAATTAAATAGAATACACGAGGTACATTAGTCTTCGTTAGTTTATCCTGAGTGTATAACCGCTAAATACATTAAAAAAAACCCAAAGATGTAATGTAAATAAGTATTCAAAAGCATTGTCGGTACCAAATATAATTCAATTATAGCCTTCGGCTTAGGTTGATACCTGGATTTCTCGGATCGATAAATCCAGGTATCGACCGAAGTTAAAGGCTACAATTGTTTGATTATTTTTGAGACAGTGATGTAAGCAATCTGAAAATTTAAAAAGACACGTAAGCGAGACGGTGCGTTCGTTTGGAGGCACTTCATGATTTTTTTTTTAGAAACACACAGTCCTTTAACAAAAATCACGCGCTCCAAGTCAATATCGGTTTTTATCGGTGGACACATGATGCACTTCTGGCCAATCAGTTGTTGGGAATAATATAAAAACATAGTAAACAGTAATATCCGATAACAAAAGGATAAAAACATTTGAAAAACATTTGAATTGAAACCAGTGCCCGATGTTTTTATGAACGTACCCGCTCCACACAATCTCATATTACAGGGATCATTTGGATTGGTGGTATCACAACACTTGGCACAGTTCACCAAATCCCTTTTTCTTCCGGAAGCACCAGCCAATGAATCCATGATACTGCAGACCTACGTTTTATCGGAAAACAATATAAAAGTCATAAATGTCAAAGGAATAGGACACCAGGCTATGTTTATTAAAGTCCTCTCTCATGAATTCAACTTAATGGTATATATAGTACAGGGTACCATCCAGTTAAAAACAGTATAAACATTGTTGCTATTGTGTATCATTAAGTCCTTTTCACGAGAAATCAACAATAATAATCACATCTGGTCATGCATTTTAAAACATTGCAGTTGTTTCAATTTCAATGTTTGAAAAATAAAATGAAACAGGAAACCTTCGGGTTTCGAACCCATGCTTTTTATATTTTATTGATAAAAATAATTAATAATTCGAGGTTCTTATATACCACGTCATTACAAACTAGTTCGTAGGTTATCTCAAAGCGGTTCACAATTTATTATCCCTGGTTATAGGGCCTTTGCAACAAGCCAATATCGTTCGAAACTCCCTGGGGAGCATATAGCCGGTGCCGCCATTTCGGCGCTCATAGCTAGCATTAAACTATTCTAGCACTGCCCAATCACGTACTCATTTAAAGATGAGTAGACTGGAACAAGCGGAGAAAATTAAGTTGCTAAAAAAAAAAATGATAAGAAAAGTTCCTCTTAGCCAGAAAAAGTCCTTTTGGTTGAATTATTTTCTATGTTGAAGGGAGAATACTCCAAGTCAAAAGAACCTTGAGTGGAACTCTTCTTCGCGATTATAAATAATGAAGCGGTACCATTAACCTTAATAGATTTTTGTTATTACGTCAGTGAAATACAAGCACACTTTATTATATAAAATCATGACATATAAAGTAGGGGAAACTTACGGCTGCAGATCTACAACCGGCATTGTAAACGAAGTTAAGATTTTTTGTTGTGACTTTTTCAAGGAAGCATCGCTAAAAAAGACACAAGATGAACATCTAGTAAGAAACATACAAGTTAAAATATAGTAACAAAAATTAACATATATTCAATTTTTGGCTATCCCCGCCCAAAGTCAACACAATAAGTGATGATGTAATATACCGCAACGTTGTGCACGATATTTATTATTCTACCTTTTGATTAGTTAAAGTTGCTCGGCGATGAAATTAGAGCGCAATGTTTTGTTTTATGAATATTTTTATCAGAAATAAATAATATAAAATAATTATGAACTAAAATTTGAATTTAAATCTTTCATCAATTAAATTATAAGGAATAACCATGGTAATGTGTTTAAACGAGAATAATATGTGTGCACTTTGCTAAATTCGCTCAGTCATGGATCTTTTTTTCAAAAAGAAATAGTGCAGTTACAGATTTCCCAATCTTACCTCGTTTGATCCACAATCAACAGTGGTCTGACAGTCGGTGATATCCGCAGCACTTTCACAAAACAGACATTTCATTTGTCCTTAAGGGAAAAACAATATTTCATTTGTGAAAAATAATCATATTTCATCGGTTTCATATGGCACCTTGTTGGTTTGTATTTCATGTCATTAAGTCTATTTTTATCCTACATTTTTTATATTTTTTTCTTTTTATTCAAATTATTTAGATACAAATATATCAACAAGGCATACAGTACAAAAGTACTCTCGCATGCAACCAAAGACAAGGGTTTCCAAGTCATCATCCTCATTGTCATTATCATTATCACTACATATACACAACGACAAACATCATCATCATCATCATTATCAACATCACATATACATATGCAAGACCACACACTTATGTTTTACTAACGAATCAGAAAGCACGAGTGTATTGCGCGGACGAATCTATTCACGAGTGCGCGGAGCGCACGAGTTAATATACACGTCCGCGCAATAAATGAGTGCTTTCTGATTCGTTGGAAAAGCACTAAGTGTATGGTATTGCTTTTATCACATACCTTCCGTATTTGGTAGAGATCGATATAAAGATTTTATAAACTTTGATACTTTTTGCAAATACAGGGAACTTTTCAGTTCGCCATGTCATGGGGATTCCCATAAAAAGTAGATCCAGTTCGAAGGTAAATACAACATTCCGTATTGCACATGTGCAATACAGAACGTTGTATTTCATGCTCTGAAAATTGCTTGTATTACTTTAACAATATTCAACAGGTATGTGATAAACTATGATACGCATCATCATCATCATCATTCTACTCTTTGTACAAAACCGACATCCATAATGCTTCAACCTTCAGCGTCCTTCTCTATGCACTATGACAACATGATATGCACTGTCTATTCGTTTAAATCCATGCTTTGACAATTGTCACAATTAAAAATCAGGAGTACAAAAATATGATAAACCCTTGACAAATCAACGTAGTATCGTCAAATAATACTTTAAATATATGTACTATGATTTACGATAGCCAGATAAGAAAACATTACTTTTGATTGTTAACAAGCGGGGAAAAATGAAATATAGAAAAATTACTTAAAAGCAAAACTATCTAATTATTGAAGTAGATCGAGACGTAATTTATCAAAGCAAAGATTGATGGTTTTTGGTACTTTGTTGCTTTAGAATACAATGTTGTCTTACTATTAAATAAAATAGACTTATAATTTAAACTATGATATATTTTTTATACTTACCATACGAAACTCCAACAAGAGCTATACGTAAAAATGAAAACAAACGTACATTTATTGCAAAAAAGCAATTAACAATAATTATATATGAACGATTTACGTAGAGATTAAACAGTGTGTTATATCAAATCTTAAGAGAATTCTTTCTCAGAGTACAATTGGGAACATGTTTATAACATCAACAACAAAAACAAACAATATGATAGACATCTGTTTCAGAAGAAAAAAACTAAAGAAAAAAAATCGAACATCGAAGAAAGAATAATGGCAATAAAAAGCATAAAATCATGACAAAGGGCATTGAAATAACAAGAGAGGAGGAAGTCCTTGAAGCAGAAGAAAAGTCAGAGCATTTAGAGAAAAATAAAAGGCTATGACAAAGGAGGTCGCGTAGGTTCATTTCGGTGTTGAATGAAAGAAAAAAATAATACGGTTTCTAACTCTAACGCAAACTACGTTATCGACTAAATTTATTTGGTTGAATCAGCATTTTGTGTCCTTTTCTATGTCGTTATTTTCGATTTAACACGTTAGCGCTTCGATGACATTTCGTAAAGCGTTTGGCACGTTTGTGGAAGGTTGCTCATTCATGTTGATAAGTAGTATGATCGATGTACAATCAATAGTTATTTTAGATACATATTCCTACAAGATCATGAAAACAAATAGCCAAATAAGCGTTCTTTTGTAGTGTTCTATTTTTCTTCATTTTGTTTTTTTGTTCAAAACACCTTCTGTGTCTCAAATGAAGACAAATTTAATGATACATTGACAAAATGAAACAATGACGTCAGAGTATCTTCTAGTGTTTTTTCACAATGAAATGTATAAAACCTGTGAGCTAGACGATATGAAAAGAATTGTAACAGGAAAGCGTTCTGCTACGGTATTTTATTTGTTATCGGAGTTCCTTGCACTAGCATTTCAACGGTTACTTAAGTGTCCTTATCAAAATGAATAATTGTACAAACCGAGAGATAAGGCAACACGCAGTATGCTGTTTCACATGACCTTTATATCTATCGTGATAGTAGAAATCGTGTTCCGTGTGGTTCTAACCCAATCGATCAGGTAGTAATAACGGGCGTTTCTCTTCAATGTTAATACAAATATTTGCTTAAAAGCATTAATGCATTTTTAAAAAATGTTGTATTTTTGTAAATACGACATAGATACATGTAAATATGATTCGTATTTTTATATTAAATATAATGTACCATAATTAGATATTAAAATGAACCTATGTTATATGTTTTTGTAATGCTCAGAATGACATTTGTCATTCTTGTCTAGGAAAGCTCTGAAAGAAGACGACACGACATACCTAATAGACAGTGTTTCTTTATAACAGAAGTTCATTTTGTAAAACAAAAATGGAACATTTTGAATTTTTTAACCAGTAATTTAAGGCAATTAATGACCATATGATGGTATATAACCGAAAACGTAAACCATTGTCATTCATAGGTAACTGACATTTAAACCTTGATCGACTCACCACATGATTGCATATTCATCCAAATATATCGTAATATCGTTAAATAAAAATGTAATGTAATTTGGGTTATTTTCTGGAATAATTCATCTTTCTTTAATCAACTTACTGTATCATATTTCGAGAAGAATTGATTTCATTCACCTTATTTTGTACAATATGTTATGCCGATGTTAACTTTCAATTGATTTTCTTGCAGTTCTTTTAAAGTAACTTCGTTTACTGTCAAAGCTTTCGATTACAATGCATTCGTCGTCTGTACTTTGATCATCTGTTTTAATGTATCGTATTTTTATTACTGATATACCATCAAAATGTTTATAAATTGATTTCATGAGGACAGTGACAATATTTTCAAAAGCATTAAGGTACTGTCCTGAAGCTTTCGTGGACTTTTAAAACGGAAAACGGTTATATACAATTTTTTTATCGATACATATTAGTTGCTGATATTCATAACACCGCCCAATTCTGGGTATGAAATGATCAATGGTACCTTACCTGCCAAAATCAAAAGTCCCTTCATGATGACAGCTGAAAAATAATTAGTACATCTTCAATATTGGAGACAATTTCCCGTGTTATAAAGAATTGATAAAGTTATAAAGAAAATAAAGAAAAATAAAGAAAAATGCTATTCAAAAAAGTTAGTAACGCGAATCAGAATGCCAAACAAAGTAAATATTTATGCAAAGCATGTCAATTTTGTCCATTTATGACTTAAGACTCCTCAGTGGTAATGACGTACACCCGAATGAAAATTCATTTCACCGTGTTCTAAAATATGTGTAAAATTTTTGCAAAACGGAAAATGCGTCTGTACAATCTCTTAAAGTGTTACATTTGCATTTTTTTAAATCCTTAAACAAGTATTCAATATAAACCAATTACGTTACAGCCATTGCACTGAAATTCAACCTGCAGATTCAATCAAAAATATCACTTGTTTGTTTAATTAATTTAAAATATAGACTGGAATTAAATTACACGTTCATAATTTTAAATCAGTTATATGCTACAGTGATAAAATAAGCATCTTTCATGGTCTAATGTGTGCCTCCAATACCAATTCTATGTACTCTTAAGAATATGTTGCCTACCTTTCTGAATGTCTTTCCTTGAGAGTGGTGGAGTACCAAGGTGTCTAACTTATATTGACGCCTGACTGATAAGACCATTCCTTATCTGTACACTAGAAGCTGGATTCTGGTTTGTTCCCCAGGTCTTCTGATAACCTTATCTGAACCTAATATCAAGGATTTGCTATTATCATAAAAAAAATCGTTCAAATTCTTTATGTATCAGCTTGGTCTATTGGATTGTATTCGTCACATGACACAAATATGCCAAGGTTCTCTAACTCACTCGAGTTTCCTCGGTTAAATTTTCCTTGTTCGGAGTCTCGCCTGATTTCTGATTGACTGAGGCAGACGACAATAATGACGCGAAACCTGAACATCTTCACTGTTTTGTAATTGTTCTATTAAGGTATAATAAAACAGCTATTGCCCTTTTTAATTTTGCTTAGTTCAGAGTTAGATAGAGACTATTTAGCATTAAGAATTAAGTACTATTTAATGTTCCAAGCCAGTGCTAATATGTTAATGTCGTAAATTGTAATTGTGTTATTGTTTGATATGTATGTAACCCAAGGGAGAGGGCTTGTATAGGCATAGCCTGTTGCCCAATTCCCATTGAATCATTTGATATAATAAAATATTTTGAAATGAAAGTGGAAGGGAAACAGTTTTTTTGTTTCCCCTCCATCAATCCTGTTTAACTCGGGCTACGCTCATATGATACATGATTACTCTCGGGAAACGAGAAATCGGGTTTCCCTTCCACAAGGAGAGTTCCTATATATAAATACTAACGTATAAGCTTCACCTCTAGGGTAATGCTTTTTGGGGGGTTTCACTTCGAGGTCCCATTAGTTCTTGTTTCTTTTCGATTTTCAGTTTGGTTTTTCATCTTTGTGTGTTGACATGCTATGCTTTGTTTATATCATTTTTTAATTGTTTTGTTTGTGAAAGTATCAAATGTATCTCCACTTTATCATATTTAAATTCAAATAATCTGAAATATATTTTAAGTAAATCAATTCATCTATTCTTGTTTCCACTTAGAAAATTTTATCTATAAAAGTTAATATAAACAGGATATTTAATGGTTGCCTTTGAATACCATATACAATGTATATTCACGAGTATAGCAGACTTTTATTGATATTTATAAGACATTTACAATAATATCCGCCAATTTAAACAGGCGATAACCCATGTGAAATAAATACACTTAACGATAGATATTGTGTATTTCTGATAAAATGTACAATATTTCTCCCATAAACCACAGTATTCACTGAAGACAAGGATAAGGTCATTTTTGCTTTAAGTGTGAACCCCTCTCTATTGAAGGAAATTAAGTGGCCCTTTATCAGTAAGTTTTCACAGATCATTATCGAAGTGTGTGTTTTAACGGGAATGGAAAAAGGCAAATGTTTCTCCCTATTTTTAAGAAAGACGAAAGTTCTTTAGTACCTAATTACGTGTCATTTTTTTTTAATATGCATTTTAAGGAAAAAAGGAAAAGAATATTTACAAATATGTTCACCATTATCTCCTAGATTACAATGGCCTTACATTTATGAAATTATGTTTCCGAAAAGACCATTGACTATAAACAAGATTTTACCTAATGACAGTGAGAAATATATAGACAACGATCAGGTAGGATTCCTTCCTCAGCGAAGCGTTCAAATGAGGGTGGCATCATGGGTTACGAGCGAAGAGTTTTAGTTTTTTTATTAATTGTGATTGGGCGTCTATTACTGCCGGTGTGCCACAGGGTTCTATCTTGGGGCCATAACTGTTCTTGCTTTTATTCATTTTATTGTCAATGACATAATGCATGTTCTTTGATAATCATTAGCTGATAATGCGTTGTTTTATCTAGATGTACCTAACACCGCTGCTGATATTTTGAATGCAGATCCTGATAAAATCAAGAAGTAGTCTGAAAAATAGTTCGTTAAGTCAACTCTTTAAAAACCGGGACTATTGCATTCAGCATGGTAACACAGAAGCGTATTAAACCTCCCTTGTTTATGATGAAAGTACCTTACAAAAATTCGAATTCACATAAACGTTATTTATTTCTCCGGGGACTGGAGCTGGGTTGAGCACCATGTAGTTGGAAAAGTATCAAGAAAACTAAATGTACTGAGAAAATTTCAAATTTAATTTGATAGATTACCACTCAAAAATTATATATATGCCGTTGTTTTGCGTTTAATTTGTATCAAAGAATTGATAAGTGACAAAATGAAAATCGAACACTATGAAGAAGACGATGTTTTGATGTTGGGTTTACGCTGTTGAAACCAATATCTTACTTCGAGGTATCCGAGTTTTCGAATTTTCAGGGTCGGAATAATCAGAGTTTTACTTATCATGATAACGAAGATATTTGGCCTGAACCAGAGAAATACTTCGATGCGAACGGGGTCTTCGAGTTATAAGAGTTCGAGATAACGAGGTTCAACTGTATTTCTTTCATCAGATCAATATTAGAATATGGGGATCTTGTCTTGCTCAGTCCCAAATTAAAAAGGGGTTTACAATGTAGAAGTCGTGAGAAAAGTGACATAATGGTGGGGCCTAATTTACACGTAGTTTTAATTCATACAAGGGAACTGACTGAGGATCCCTAAAAACCTAATGTGACAACCACAAAATGGTACAGATTCCCTAATGATAAACCACATGACCCAAAGATATCTTAGTAACATGATACCTCAAACAATCCCAGACACATAATACTATTCGACCTGTGCACTTTTAAAAGACGTACATCCTGTTGATAGTATTGTCTTGTCTTACTGCCTTCGAAAAACATTGTCGAAAGTACGAAACTAGCAGACGAAAATATCTTGACCGTCTTTCTTATCTTTTTTTCTGCCAATGTTTTGTTATTTGGGGGCTCTGGCATCTCGACAGCTGAAAATGAAATAAAAAAACGTGACATATATATATTCAAGAGAGTGCAGAACGTCATGTATTCTAACGTCTTTAAAGAAGCGCTAATTGACAAATATTCCTTTATATGAGACCAAAAGTACGACAAAATCCAAACACGAAAAGCAAACAAAGACCATAGAAAATAATCAATTGTTACGTAATTTTTATTTTTTATCAATTGTTAATAGTTTCTGATATTTCACTGGTGAAAATGTAACCAATGACATTTTCTTTATTTTTTGTACCAATTGATAATTCTGGATATTTCACTGGCGAAATGTAATAAATCAAATATCAACTAAGTGTAAAATGGTTAAAGCATAATTTTCGGCAATATTTTACTATAAATACACAGCATTATGGCTATTTTTTCAGTATCAATCTGCTGATTAAATTTGCTCTTCTAAATAGTATTAGAAATTCAGTCCCAAATTTAATGAACCTCCTTATATTTCCTACATTCCTAGAATATTCCTAGCTCCACTTACACTTCAAGTAGATTGTTCTGTATCAAAGTAACCAGTATCTTACTGCTTGTCCTTGGTCAATAGGTCAAGTTTTATATCTTAGTGTGACACAAAATCAAGGTCAGCGTGAAGCCATCGCTTCAATATACCTAGTATGGTCTTCCGGTTGACCAATGCGCACGCTATTGTGTAATATCTCGATTAGGTTTGACTATCAAACATGTTCACCGCATTCATCTCACTTTTTGAAAAAGTTCAAAAGTGGTTACCATGACTACTTTTAATTATAAAATAGGGATAAAATGTACACACTATCCACATGCAAATCAGACCATGTCATTCAGGCCTTAACGACGACATTTTTCAATTAATTAACACTTATATTCTATAACAATTCACAAACGTTTTGTTACGCGTTCATATTGCTGTCTGTTCGTATGAACTTTGAGTTAAGATTTTGTCTGTATTTTGCACAAAAAAAATCGATATTACCTTGCTGAATTACACAAAAATTGAGTAATGTCTATGGCCTCCGCGTGCTTTTCGTACGTAAACATCGCAGTAATTTTGGTTAAATATCACTTGTTAAAGCGACATTGTAATGCAACACCTTCAATTAATACGGCTGTCAGTATGCATAATTATCCAGTGCTCTTAACCAAATTTAGAAATTCACTCTTTTAAGAAAGTGACATTCTTTGTTAAACAAAGTTTCATTGTATATACATGAGGCATATTTGTCTAGTCGCAAAATATGTCACTGATGCTTTCAATTATTTGATTTTGAATCCGAACATTGTCTTTTTGAATTGACGCTGTAATAAATGCATTTCACATAATTGTTAGATTCTGGATAGGAATGTGATATCTAATCTCGGTTCAAGTAATGATAATGATAATATTAATACTTCGAGGTTCTTATATACTGCTTTATCACAAACTAGTTCGTAGGTCGTCTCAAAGCGGTTCACAAATTGTTATCTGTGGTTATAGGGCCTTTGCAACAAGCCAATATCGTTCGCAACTCCCTGGGGAGCATATAGTCGGTGCTGCCATTTCGGCGCTTACAGCTAGCATTCTACAAATCTAACACTGGAACAATCGTAGTAAAGAATCTTGCTCAACGATACTACACAGTGCCGTGACGTGACTCGAACCCGCAACCCTTCGGTCACGAGTCCGGCGTCCTACCACTAGACTCTACCGTTTCTTACAAGTGCGAAGTGTGTCTGACACACATACACACATGTAGGAGTCTTACGTTTTGTTTTATACACTGCTATACAGCTACTACAGTGCACACCATCTTAAAGTCAGCGTGGCTTTGTTACACTGAAGAGGCTCATGAAAGGGAAATAGTCGAATGCATAATTAGAAGACAAAATATATAAGCAACATATCAATTGATAATTGAAAATGCATGTAATAAAGCGGCAATACAAAACGTAAAGTTTTGAATTCAAAATCAAACAATCAGTTACACATTTTGTGAATAGATAAAACTATCTATGCTTCATAAAGATTACTTTTAATAACCATTAATAAAATCAAAGTATATGCACCAAAAATAAATACTGTTGTTATTTTAATGAAATATCCCACACGGATCCTCATATGCGTTGATCGCTACACGGATGAGCACTTCTGGTAATATCCGTTATACCGGGAACAAAGTATATTTGCTTAAGACCGTATGAACATTTTCTTTTGTAGTAAAGAAAAGTAGTACCGTGAGCAATTACAATCATCAGCAATGTCCATTGCAATATAGATTTTGCTTTAAGTATATTTCTTCTAGCAGTACAATGTTTCAGCTACTGCTGTTGTCTGCTATCGTAGCTCACACGGCATGCAGAAACGTAGAATATTTCATACAGGCAGAGGAAATCGATTGGGATTACGCACCTTCAGGTCAAGATATCATCAATGAGAATCAAACGTAAGTGTGCTTGCTTTTAAAATGTAATCTTAGAAAATGGGATTTATTTGCTAAATCAAGAAAAAAGGGGATTTTTATTTATAAAAAAAAGAAGTATTACTGCAAATTATAATAACAATACATTATTTTGACAAGAATCTTGCTGCAAAAATATATCAATACGGCTATATTTATATCTGGATGATCTTTATAAGTGATTTTCAAGTTTTATCTTGAAAAGGGGGATTTACTGCTAAATCATGTAAAAAGGAAATTTGTATATAACTTGAAATGTGATAAATACTGCCTGCTTAATAATGATAGCTGGAGATGATTTTGACAAATTTTTTGTTGCAAAAATATTGAAATGCCGCTTTAGCTAAAACTGAATGGAACGGTTATATCAGTGATTTGAAAATGTAATTTTGGAAAAGGATATTATACTATTAAACACCGATAGACGGAGTTGATTTTGACAAGATTTTTGTTGCAAAAATATCTTAATGTAGCTGTAGCTATATCTGTATGGACGAGCATTATCAGTGATTTTGAAATCTAATCTTGGAAAGTTAATAACTGCCAATTTCATGATAGCCGCAGATGATTTTGACAAGATTTTTGCTTCCTCTATAGTGATATCTATAAAAAAAAAGAAAATGTTCAGTGATTTCATTATAATGTCTCACTGAATTGATTATTTGTGATATTACTGATAATGAATATTTGATTGAGCGACTTGTTTGTGTTGTCATAAAAGGAAGTCGATATTGCTGATGATTTGTGACTAAACTGATGTTTTTATGATGATATCTATGCCAAGTCGGTACCATTGGTGATGTCTGCGTGGAGTTATTGTTCGTGCTTCAATGGGTTTTTTCGTATGTACTTTGATATTAGTGGTATTGAATATTCTTGTTTGTACTTTGATATTGGTGGTATTGAATATTCTTGTTTGTACTTTGACATTAGTGGTATTGAATATTCTTGTTTGTACTTTGATATTAGTGGTACTGATTTTTTCTTTCCCCATTTGAGGTGTTTCGAATTGTTTGGCATTTCAATAATGTCAGTTTTTGGTACTGGCTGCATATCGATTTTTAGTCCGGACGTTGTCCTTGGAATTTGACGCTTTGCTGATTTGTTTTAATATTTACTTTGCCTGTAATTTATCGTTTGATTTATATTATGTGTTATATTTTCCCCTATTCCTTTTTGCATTAATGCTGGAATCTGTTATTTCCCTCACAAACACTCATTAAGCCACTGAGAGTATATCAAGACTTTATGTATACGATTAGTTATAGTGTAAGATCAGCTTTAACAATGCTGATTTACCGATACGTATTTTACTTTTCAGCAATGCAAGATTTTATCTCGAAAGAAAAGCATACCGAAAGGTTGTGTACAGAGAATACACAAACTCCCTATTTGAAGATAAGGCTCCAAGAAAAGAGCATCTCGGTATCCTTGGACCGACTATACAGGCAAATGAAGGAGACGTCCTGATTGTGCATTTCCGCAACTCAGGAAGTCACCCACATTCAATCCATCCAACACGGCTGTCTTACACGAAGGAATATGAAGGTATGCCTTCACTTTAGTAAATTCATGCCATTAAAATGTGTCGGTTTTTTTAATAAATCATGAGAGGCAAGAGTTATTCAATGGATGCGTTCCTTAATGTCACGAATGTCTGTTGGTCAATAAAACGATGTTTCGGTGCATAGTACACAATAAATGACGTCATGTTTAATGGTAAATTACGCAGCTTGAATATATTCCAAGACGCTAGCATAGATTGATAGCTAATTTAATTTTTCTTGCTATGTTAACATGGACAACTTAAGACTAAGCTTTCTGTGAAGCCAAACAACACAGAATATTTAAGTTAAACCACACGTTATAAAAAGTTATCTTTTGCACTTCGTTGTATTCCTAAATATGTTTTTTTTCTTCTGAACACGTTAGAAACTTATCTTCGTTGACCTTTAGTATATTTAGCCCCTTATTGGGCGGAATGGCCTTACTGCGCATTAAACTATTTACTATGTTTAGATTTCTACGTCAACAAAATAAAATTTTAATATGTACTTCCTACCACGTGTTTTTTTATCCTGGCACTCCGGTTTCATTCTACAGTAAGACCCTTTGCGCGCTACCTTCGGGGCCAACAAGAGTGATTAATATAAGTTGAAAGAGCTTGTTTCGCTATTGTAGTTTAATTAGTTGCAATTGTGATTAAAGTTTAATTAATAATATCATAGTTGATTTATTTATTATGTCAATAAGATAATGTTAGCCATATTTTCAGTTATGTCATTATAACAATGATTTATGACTTACAGATTATTGAAGTCATTTACCTATATGTAACTAATATAACCTGTTAGTTAATTAAGGGTGATTGACGTCAGTTTACGTTGTGTTTGATGTCAAGTTAGATAATTACTGGTGTGAAGGTAATGGTTAGTGACGTCGGTGAAATTGACATACATCACTCATTATGCTTACCATACATTACTTCTTAGTGCTTCCATTTTGTTCATTTTACATTATAAACTTAGTCATTTTATGACGAATCATTTTCGTTTCCTCTCTGTACAAATAATCAAACGGATCACACAGCAGCTACGGAATTAGTTTTATACACTGCATTTATATTTCGGTCATATCAACAACAAAACCAATAGTTAAAAAAGGTACTTTATGATATTGCAATCATGCATTTGTTTACCGATAGGCATATTTATGTTGTGAATAAAGATGAATTAGAACTAAAAACAGCATAATAAAACAAATTTTACGTGAAATCTAATACAAAAGTCAGCTCAATAATTTCACCTTGACATAATAATAAAACGACAGCTGTTTCAGAAGAGAAGATATTTTATATGATTGTATGTAGTGTATAGATGAACACATATGGTTGTTCTGGTAAAGTAATTAAAACACCGCAATTATAACATTCTTATCATGTTGTTTAAAACAGGAAGTATGTACTGGCAAATTTCCGGATTTCAACCAAACACAGACGGCGCCGTTCCCCCAGGTCAGACTTTTACATACCACTGGAACGTGTCAGCACTTGGGCTCCCACTACCGGATGTCACGTGTGTATCCGGCTTGTACTATTCTGACACCGACAGAGTTCGTGACGTCAATAGTGGTCTGGTCGGGTTTCTTATCGTATGTAAGCAAGGTTAGTATACAATTGAAACTTACATAATAAACTTACGTTTGAAGGGAGCATCAAGTACTAAATAAGTATGTCACTTGTGATAGCAATTGTTGTTCCCTTGTTTTCATTTTGGCATTGGTAACCTCTTTCAGGTGCGTGCACTTTTTTACTGGAGTTTAACATCCGGGCTACAACAACCAGTCATATGAATACACTAACTAGGGCAAATTACGCAAAACGTGCATTCTGAACCAAGGTATATGTGTTTATAGTAGAAATAAAGTTGTCATAATTCTTTTTTCTAAGTCGACTATCAAATCTAACGTATTGACATCATTAGATAACTGCACACACTACTTGATAGAAGAAGGCCCGTGTAAAGGTCTATTATATGAGCATACGGTAAATTCATGTCTGAGAAATTAAAACAGTAATTTAAGATAGATGAAAAAATGCATTGCATTTCAGTTTATTTCAATAACGATCTTTATAGACACAAAGACAAGCGTTGTTAAGACATATTCGAACAACAACAAACAGTACGGGCAGATTGAAAGTCTGCCCAGATAGGTTCACTACTTTGTCAGGGCAGCAAATTGTGTATTGGTTCGTGCAAACTTGTTAACCTGTCCGAGCAGGTTTGTAAATCTGCCCAGCTAAATTATTATTTATGTACTATTTCATCCATGTCCAAATTATTTTTAAAACGTTTTACACAAAA